TTTTTATTATGTTGCATAATAATTCTGCACAGTAATATTCACCTGTACACACAGACATCCTCATAAAATGGCCAAATAAAACAAAAAACATCAACTTCAAAAATTTAGGGGCTCAGGGAACATTTGCAGGTTTTTAGAGTTAATTTGCTTAAGGTCTGTCATGAGTTTACATTTTTTTTCACAATATTACTAGGACATTGACTGTATGGATTTCATTATAAGCTTAAATCATCAAGACTGACAAGAAATAAAAGCTTGAAATATTAAGTTCTTCGTAATAAGTTGTTAATGTAAATTTCTGAAAATAGTAAGAAAAAAAAGATTGTAGTTATTTGAAGATATTCTAGTTTTGAGATGTTCCTTAATGTAATATGTAATACCTGGGGTCCTGCAAGGTCAGGGAGAAGCACAAGGTGGCGCCTCTTTCTCTTATATGTGAACGAAAACACATCATGACTTGTTGCTCTGAGATGAAAACATTTTGCAGATGGAGCTCTTATCATTCAGACTTGGATTTGTCAGACCAATGTGACTATTGAAAATAAACTGATTGTTTTGAATTAACCCATCGCTGTCTGTGCTGATTTATAACTCCACATTTCCAGAAGGTCCAGTGGAGGCAATCCCGTCTGAAGCAACTGAAACTATCATGTTCCCTGATCAACATCCCCATTATTTCTTTTTCATAGTTCTGTTTGTTGAAATAAATCTTCACAGATCACAGAAAGTAAATAATTAGACTATAATCCCTAAACCTGCTGAACTAGTTTATTTATTTTCAGCATTATTTATATATACAGCTCCCCTCTCCCTGCAGCCAGCAAAAAATAGTTCATATATATTGATGAAATTAATTTATCTTAAATTTTCTTTATTGCAGCTTTTTTTCATAGTTTGATATTTTTGTGATTCTCAATATGTCTTTGTACATTATAGCATATTTTAATGCCTAAAAACTATGGTTAAAAAAGGTCTATGCCGGGTTGTTGAAATATGCGCAGTTTATTTTTTGAGATGATAGTATATAGATGGATTGATATTAAATACAGTATATTTAACAGATATTAAACAGTAGCAGAATTCCACTTTATGTTTAACTGTAGCTTCTTTATGCTGTTTAAAATTACACACTGATATGTCTTTATCATGCACAAAATACTGTAAAAAAAAAAAAAAAAAAAAAAGGTTTTGGTTTTAAAGCTGAGCTACAATTGTATTTCTCTTAGAGCAAGTTGAAGAATAAAAGCTGTGATAATGGCACTAACCTAAATAATGTGAAACTGCAGTGGCATGTGGCTGTAGCATTGGATAGTGGGTACAGCACTGATGTTACAGAGATTGATCAATGTATTACAACAATCAGTTTTAACCGATTCAAATATGTTTTATTGATCCTAAAGCATTGCTGTATCTCCAGCAGGCACGTGCAGAGGGGGGGGGGGGGGCTAAGGGGGCTTGAGCACCTGCCCCTTTTGCTCCATGATCCCAATTTGCCCTTTTGGCCCCTTTTTTTTTTTTTTTTTTTATTTGACACATGTACTGAAATTATTATTATTATCTTTTTTTTTGGCAAGAAAAACAATACAATAAGCCCTCCAGTCACATTGTTACCTTTGACCTTTTGCCAGTGACGACGCACTTGCCTCTCGCACAGTCAGATAAGGCGGCTAACTGCGGAGCTAAAGGTAGCGAACATTCCACATTACACTGTGGCCGCTGCTCATTTGGCCCTAAGCAAGATCAACCATGATCGGACGGATGGCTATGTCTTCAGTCTGCACCGCCTCTCCAATGTCAACCTGAATAGACATGTAAGTGAAACCAAATGAGCCCCATGGATGATGCAGTATTGTTTGATCTAAAACACTGTTTACTCTGTGCTTTTAGTCTTTTACATTGAAAATTATGTTTTTTAATTCACAAAAAACTGTTCTGTAATGATTACAGAACAGTTTTTTTGTGAATTAAAAAACATAATTTTTGGTGAAAATACTGGAGCAGGTTTCCTACTTGTCAGACAACGGAAAACTTTGAACGTTGTATAATTTCTCTACTTTAGCAAAGAGTAGCGGTTTACACAGAGGAAAGTATAGGACGCGGCGCGCCTTTCTCTGAAGAACTACTGAGCGGGAGGAGAGAGCCAGGTGAGGAAAAGCTGTTCTTATCTATCGATTCAGTATTTTTATCATACAGACATTAGGCTGTTGTTCTTGTGCTATGAGCTAGCTGCTAGCTAATGACTTTGCTAGCAAAGCAAGATAACTAAAAAGCTTCCCTGTGTCGTTAATGATAGTAGGACATTCTTCAGTATTACTTATGCAATAGGGGCACATCGCCCATCAAAAACCTATCATCTCCATAATGGATATATGTCTGATTTTCTAATTTCCTTTGCTGCATGATGTACATTGCATTTATTCTAGCGTTAGGTAAATGTATCTTGAAAAAGAACTCATCCAGAACTACCATGATAGATATATGATAGATATAATGTATGAAGCTGGTGAAAACAAAACTGCGCAGCTTATGCAAGGAGGATTGGTTGTCAGAACTTCTTTTGTTGGCAATCGAGAAGGATGTGCCAATCATTCACAGTGAGGTTATTAACATTTTTAAAGACATGGCTAACAGAAAACTGCTGCTGTGAACAAAAGAGAACAAAAATAGCAAAAATGCTTAAAAGTTGGAAATTTGTTTTTAAACAGTTAAATCACCATGACGGAAAATAAGTTTTTGCATCATAATCTTGGATTTAGTTTGGGGGAAAAAGAAAGGCAAGAGACTGAAATAAATAAGACATTGACCTTCACTCAACACAGAAAAGATGAGACAATGCACATTTTCCCATGAGACTGGGTTGGACAATGAGGAAAAAAAGAAAAGAGAAACTGACAAGAAAAAACGAAGAGGAAAGATTGAAGAAAATGTATATAGGTACTTACAAAATACACTAAGACACAAACAGAGTAGGCTTTTCTCATGGTGACATGCATTAATAAAATGTTTGTTTTGTTCTTTTTTTTCTGCAGTTCCACGTTAAAGTTTGATGCAGCAGCTCTGCTTTTCTGAATGGACCGTCTCCATCTCCACTGTCAGTACAGCAAACCAGGCAGACATTCTTTTTTATAGATTACAGTACACTAAAAGGTTGCATTGTGCCCTTGTATGCAACAGTTTAATTCTGTAAAGACAAAATATGTCTGCTGGTCCAGCTCTGATTTACATCTTTGGCTAAATTGCAGGTTTGAATATTGTAATACTTTCCTATAACAAAATAGACCTGCAGAAAGAAATTACTAATAAAATATTTTACTTATGCATAGTTCTATGTTCTTTCCCTTATTTCCCTTAGCTTTGATTGTATGTCTCACAATTTTGTAATTTATCATTGTTCATTAAACTCTGAAAGCTATGTGACTTTGTTAATATTCTGTCCTAAAATGCGATAAGATGTGCCCTTTTTTTTTTTTTGAGCACCTGCCCCTTTAGTGGTCTCTGCACGGCCCTGATCTCCAGTCTGTTTTCCAGGTGGACACCAAGGTATTTATACTCCATCAGGCTCGGACAGGTGGGCCGGTCCTAATTTCAGCCTGCAAGGGCCGGCCCTCCTTCAATCATACCGGCCTCAACACTTACTGTCCGGCTGAAGCACCTACCTGTGACAGTAAATAGCTCAAGAAGTAAAACAATGTTAACAACCTAAATGATGCATGCAGTCTATATAGCCCTTCCTTGTCATGCACATCCTTATGACGGTTGGCATATGGTCTAATTTTCTATTTCTTCAAATTTTAAAATCCTTGCAAGAAATTAAATTTTAATAAAAATAAAATGCTTTCTTTAAGCCAAACTACAATGTTCCTCTTATATTTGGCGAATTTATGCACGATCAGCTTGTACATCTAAAGCAGAGGTCTTCAATGGGGGTGGGGGTTGCTGAATTCCACAATCACTTCTATCTATTCATTAAATTGTCACTTTTTGCATTTATGTCTATTACTCATAGGATAATCTTAATCAGTTCAGTAACAGTTAAGTAAACTGTGATCAAATTGTACCAACTGTCATTCAGTTGCTCAGTAAATCATCAGAATAACTGATCAATAAAAAAAGCTGCACCCCTGGATCACATCATGTTTGCTTTCAGTTTTCTTTGCTGAAGAATTTGCTTGATGCTATAACTGCAGTAGAAAAGGTATAATAACCACAGATATTTTCTGTGGTCTCCATATTTGTCTTTTTACACCAGTCCACCCAGTAGGTGTTTTCTGCAGGAAAGAGATCTGCTTTAACATACATAAAAAGATTTAAAATGATGTAAGCTCAGATACAGGAAGCATCAGAACAGAAGATCCTGACAGATTCCAACAACCCATGAACCCACAGAAACAGAGGCTTTGGCACTCTGACCTATTTATGGTGCTGAACCTTCTTCCAAACAGATCACCAATTTATGAAGTCTGATGTGTTGTAACTTCAGTGTTCTTTTCTGAATGAAGCTGCTTTATCAGATACTTTCATGTATACTCTGTAGTTAACTTTTTAAGGCTCCAAAGATGCTGTTTCACAGATGAAATAAGGATACGTCTATTAATTTACTTTATCTAAAAAAGAAACAAGGAAAACTGGTTCTTAAACAATACTTTTCCAGATCTAATAACCAACAACTGCTTGCGATTCTCATAAAGAAGAAAAAATACAATGTATATAAGATACATTTTCATCAATATTTTAAAATTGTGCCAAATTTTAGAAGTTGGGTTAATTATATTCTTGAGCATTATGTTAAAAGATCAAAGCTGACAATACAACTGCTAACTGTAGAGAAATACAGAAACTAAGAAGACCACCTGATTCTGTCCTCAGGGTTTTATTAAAGGATGTGAAGAATGAGAAACATTATCTGTGGTTTTAACAGCAACAGACTCTCTGACAGAGACGCTGTTAAAGGCTTCCTCTTTATTTCCTCAGTTTGGTGCTTCCTCTCAGCTGTAGCTCTGGTGAACGCTTTTCTTAATGCAGTGAGTTTGCAGCTGTGGTGACGGTCAGAGTTTCAGCAGCTGTGAATAAAAACATGTTGCTGGGTGATGATGGTTGGTTCATCATGAAGGTCCTGCTGCTGCTCGTGCTCCTCACAGGTACTTTTATGTTCTGTTCTTATTTCTTAAACTAAAATGAACAAAAAATGGCTCATTAACATAATCTTTATAGACTCTGCTGCCATTTAGAGGAATATTAAAGCTCTAACTGTTTCTACAGATTTTTTTTAATGTTTGTGGTTCCCTCATTTTATATATATATATATATATATATATATATATATATATATATATATATATATATATATATATATATATATATATATATATATATATATATATATATATATATATATATATATATATATAGTGTCTAATAAAGTAATGCTATCTTTCTGTAAGATCTGAATCATGAATCATTTTAATAGAACTAAAGCTGCTGAAGCAGGACATAAATATCTGAGCTGAGTTGAGAAGCTCTACCAATCTGTGAGATGCTTCAGTTTGATGTATTTAACTTTTGTTTGAGACTTCATAAAATGCTGGGGTCAATCATCACCATGCAGTGGCTGTAAATTACATCAAACAGTGTAACTATGATTAAACGTCTTTTATAACAATGTATAAATGTGCCAAAGAATGTTTTATAGAGTGGCAGATAACTGACACATAACATATTTCACATTCAGATTTTAGATTCTAGATGTGACATCTGTGAAACTGAAATCTTTATTTTTTTGTTTTTCAGTGTCAGGATGTGAAAGCATCAGAGTTGTTGGTCAAACAGGTCAGAATGTGACTCTGAACTGTAGATATGATATCAAAAAGAAAGGAGTGTCACCTGCTTGCTGGAATAAAGGAGAGATACCATCCAGGGGAGGCTGCAACAATAAGCTGATCTCTACAGATGGATATAAAGTTATAAAGGAAACCAGAGTTTCCAGCAGGTATCAGCTACTGGGACGACTGGATGAAGGAGACGTTTCTCTGACGATCCTGAACCTCACTTAGGAAGATGCTGGACTTTATGGATGCAGAGTGGAGATACCTGGGCTGTTCAATGATGAGATACATCAGTTTGAGTTGAAAGTTGAAAAAGGTGAAAAAATACAGATATTTAGAGAGATGTTTTATTTTCCAAAGCCAGTATCACTAAATTAATATAAAGTTTTTTTCAATTGGTTTATGGGAGAAATGCCCTTTAACTGAATAAGTCGAATGTAATTTTCTAGTTTTTCTTCTGAGTTTTCTCTGTTCTGTGTTATTTAATATGGAGAAAATGTGAGTTTTCATTTAGATTATTTCCAAAAATGTCAAATAAGCACCTTTAATTTTTTTTTAAAACCTACTGCTTAGTGTACAACTTTAATGCCTATAATTTGCTCATCTTTGAAAAGTGACTCTGATGGAAGGCATTTCATGAGAAAATTGATTAAACCATTAACAAATGATCTCCTTTTAAACACTGAATTCATTCAGGTCTCTCCCCAAGTTCTTTAATATTATTGCCAAGTGGCTGTAATTCATAACTCTAAGCTCTTTTTGTTAAGTATTTATCCTGGTTATTCTATCAACTTGTTCTTATACAAATCCATACGTATAAGAAATTAGTTTTTTTTACGAACCTGTTAATGCAGTTCATCATAGCATTAATTAAAATGTAAATAGACGTTCATTTAGCAAAAAATCCACTTCACAGTTGGATGGTACAATGTTGCTTTACAACACTATGGTTCTTGATTTAAATCCCCAGTTAGTGTGTTCTGTTTTGTCTGCATCATTTCTCTCTAGGTACTATAGCCTCTAGTCAAACATTAAAATTGCTAATCAGTCTTTCTAGATTTTATTTGGGAGTAAATTTGTGCATGTTAGCCCTGTGTTTCTCTGTGATACCCTGGATTGGACTGGAGACCTGTCCAGGGTGGACCCCTGATGACAACGTGATCAGAGGTGATGACAACAGGCACCAGGACCTTGATGAGCCAACAAGGATTAGTGGGTTTAAACACTGGATGGATGATTGGGGGCATTTTTATTTATGCTTTAATTTTAAATGTCAGAGGTTGAACAGAGATCTTACTGCTTAGAAAAGCCACCCAGAGGTAAATTGTCCTAATTAAGTGTCTGTCATCTATGCTATCACTATGTCCCAGCAGTCAGGCCAACAGCAACCAGAGGTTTCTTTGTCCATATGGCTCAGACCAAGGGATCCTTAGGAGGCCGTCTTATCCAGTCTGGCTCTATAAGTTCTGAAACTCAAGAGAAATGTGTTGCAAAAAGTCTATTTTGCAGCAGTTTGGTTCTGAAAAGTCAACCCTCCTCTTTCCATTTTGGTGGAGCCCCTACAACATGGACCCTCAGGCAGCTTTAAGGGAAAGAGAGGGAAATCCCGAGTGTAGCTTGTTTTTCACTATCCTCAACACAGAGGGGGGTGGCAAGTCACACCTCTGTGGGAGTTGCTGTGGAGGCAGTCGGCTCAAAAGGGGGTTGCAGATGTCTTACAGCTGTTTAATCACCAAAACTGTATTTTCTTCTCCGGTCATCATGTCAAGATGAAATATGGACACTGGTTCCTAATATCCAAAAACCAAGATCATGGCATATGGCACAGCAACTCTTTACCTGCTCAGTTGATGTCTGTCACCACTGACTTTTTCTTTATGCCATCTTTACTCTCACCAACCTTTTAACAGGCCAATGGAACTTGAAAGCATTAGAAAAGGGCAGACCTATTTAGTTGTCTAAAGGCAGCATAACTGGAGCCTCGAGTTAAAAGCACTGAAATAGGAGTTTACTGTTAATTAAAAGCATGAATATTTTTCTAAAACCAGATGAAATCGTTTTAGACATAGTTTTGTTTTCCAGTGTTTTGAAGATCTAGACCAAAACTCCACTTGTTTCCTTCATCTTTTTACACTTTCAGTAATTCAGATCTCCTCCTAAAACCTTGGACCTGGAATTTCTGAAGCTCTTAAAACATTTAAATTTTCATTTTACTTTAAATTAGTCTGAACCGGCTAATTCTCTCATGATGTTTATAATGATTATCTGTGTTCATCTACAGACCTGCCCACTTCAGCGCCATCAGGCACACTGACGCAAACACAAAGGGACAGATGCTTCTCAGACAACAGGTAGGGAAACCCACAGTTCATTCACGGCTTAGAGTAATAGCAGAAAGAGCCGAAAACCATCTACTAAACTCTGGATGTTCACTGATTAGGTCTAATAAAAGTGTAAAAAGGAAGTTGATGCTGAGAAGGAAACATTGAATCATGTCTGCCCAGTTTTGTAACCTGTTTGTTCTGCATGTGCAGCTCCTTAGCTCCTCTCTGTCATCATCCTGCCGATGCAGCTGCTCTCAAATAATCTATTTTAATTTCCTTATTTATCAGACCTCATGACCACAGACAACCTCCTGACTCCCTACACCAACAGCAGCAACACAGCTGAGGTGAGAAAAGCATGAATAACAACCATTATAACCTGCAGATTCATTCCATTTTAATTGTTTAATGTTATTTAACCTTCATCTTTGTGATATGAAATTTATAAATAAAAGTCTAAAAATAGAGGTCAGAAACATATAAAAGATATCCAATGATCTAATGTGTTGTACTCCACACTAGTTTAGTAGTGGTGGGCACATCTGACCAAAAAGAAAGCTTAACTTAACCCTGCTACACTAACTAAAATATTAGCTTCTCTCAAGAACTAAACTTTTAAAAAGAAGTTTATGAAACCTAAAGCTAACCACTAAGACCATTATTACAACAGGCAAAGAGACCTGACTGTTTCTATCTCAAACAAAAAACAGATCTGATAGGTTTTAATTTCCTTAATATAATTATTTGATTGGTGTAATTTAATCATATCCCCAAAATATTTTGAAACTACCAATTTCCTTTACAATCCGATACTGAGTAAAATACATTTCCCCCATAAAATGGGCAGAGCAAAAAAAATGAACTCTGCATTTAACCCATCCCCTTGGGGAGCAGTTGGCTGCCATTGTGCGGTGCCCGAGGAACAATGTGAGGTTAAGGGTCTTTGATCAGGGACCCAGAGTGACAGTCTTTGGGGGTTGGGCTTGACCTCAGAACCTCTGGATTCCAGGCGCAATCCCCTAACCACTAGGCCCCCATTCAACATTTTAGCCCCAGAGCTTTAGTCACAGGTGTCAAAGTGGTTCCAGAAAGGGCCGTGTGCCTGCAGGTTTTCTTTCCAACCTAACAATAGCACACCAGACTCCAATCATCCCAACAAGTCATCATGTTCAGATTGGACTCCCTTGATGAGATGAATGAAGTCTGGTGTGCTATTGCTTGGTTGGAAAGAAAACCTGCAGCCACACGGCCCTTTCTGGAACCACTTTGACACCCCTGGCTTTAGTGATCTGTGACACTTGGTTCATTTGTTTTTCTGGTAATGGCCTTAAACAACAGAGCAATTTTCTTAGTAATCTAAACTCACTTGTTTTCCTTTAGTGCTGCTAATGGGGTCCCAAACAATATTGATTCATCAATATACCATTTTTTTCAGATGTGTGTAACCTCGTATTCTTTCAGGATGCATTTATTTTCCAGATTCCCATCAACACTATAACCATATGTGTGTGTTTAATTTAAATGGCTTTGTGGGTCATTAAAGTTTTAAGCAGCAGCTTAAAGTGGGCTAGGCTGTCAGGAACTCCGAGGACACTTTTTCTCCCCTAGGCCAGCCCTACTGAAGTCCTTTTTAAAAAAATCCATATTCAGTAAACATATTGCTGTACTCATGTATAATTTACAGATGTTTTATTGTTCAAAATTGGTGTAAATCATAAAATTATTTTGAATGATAATACAAAGAATTGAAATAAAATCTGAACTGAGGTTCTTAAAACTAACCAGCTCTAAAGACTGTTAGCACTGGTGTGACCTAAAATCATTTTCCAGTCATACCTTTGAGAAACCAGGTTACATGTTTGACCAAATGAAGCGCCGTGTTTCAGTTTTAAACTAGGGTATTTTTTTTTTATCAGACAGAGAGCTGGTTTGGTTTCTTTCACACTGTGAGGTGGCTCAGGACAACATCTTTCTATCAGAAAAGTCTTCCAG